CTTGCAAAGCAGTTTAACTGCTTTGTGATTATTGCCCAAGTGGGGCATGTTAGGTTTTATTGAATTAATTTTTTGAACTGTTTTAGATGGACTTGTTTGTTTAATCTCACATACATTTGTAATTCAATGTGCAATGATATTTGTATTTTATTATTAACGGATAGTTTTTTATTCCCCTTTTAAATTCTACTTATGTAAGAGATGCAGTAAAGAATTTGTAAATAACTAGTAATAAAATAACCCAGAAATCTAATTCAGTTTAGGCAGAAAAAATGCACATGAAAACGCTGTATCTTTCTAGATTAATATCTAGACTAAAAATGTCTTCTTACTTATTTATATTAGAGCAGGGGTAGGCAACCCAAGGCCCGGGGCCGGATGCGGCCCCAAGAGGCCTTTGGACCGGCCCCAGGCTAGTCCTGCCGCCGCCCCTGCCCCCCCACCTGCTGTGATGATATTGATTATTGTTGTTATTACTTGTTCTTGGGGTTTTCTTGGCAAAATCTCCACAGGGGGTTTGACATGGCTTTTCTGGGGCTGAGAGAGTGTATATTTTTAATTTTTTTAAAAAAAATGTTTTTATTTTTATTTATTTATTATTTTTGGTGCTTTGGCCCCCCAATTGTCTGAGGGACAGCAACCCGGCCCCCGGCTCAAAAAGGTTGCCTACCCCTGTATTAGAGGAACAGTCATTTGACAACACCATATATTTCATACTTTCTTTCATCACTTACAGTACATACAAACACACCAAAACAGGTCTTCATAACACAGATCATTCATATGTGTTCCCCTTGACCCCAGCTGTATCATTATACTTGTAGCCAATGTCTGTATTATGTCCATTGAGACAAGACTATGGGAAAGAAAGAATGAAGGCAATATCTTGGTCTTGTTATCATGCAGGAAGGGTCAGTTGGTGTTACAATTTCCTCTTGTTAGGCTATTAAGCATTGGGTGACTAAAATATTGTGTACAGACATGTCCTACGATCAATCCAGAGTTTCAAAGACAGTTTACAATAACTGTAAAAACAACAACAATAAACACAGTATGCTCAAACCCAACAACAACAGAGGAAGAATCTGTTTTAAAGCCTGAAAACTACACACTTGCTTAGTCCCTGAAAGATACTAGTATGGGTGTGTGCTGCTGTTGCTGAAAATGCTTTCTCCCATGTAGAAAATGCCATGTAGTCACAGATACCCATGTAGTCACAATGTCTTTTCCTATGTAGTCACACACCTCACTTCAGATGATATAGGTACCTGGAAGACATTTTAGGGCCTTTGCAGACTGGTAGAAATAGTGCAAATTGAGTCCACTTTAACTGTCCTGGCGCAGTGCTAGGAAATCATGGGAATTGTATTTTTTTCTGAGACATTGAGCCTTCTCTATCAGAGAGCTCTGGTGCCACAATAAACTACAGTTCCCATGATTCTCTAGCACTGAGTCAGGGCAGTTAAAGTGGCTTCAATTTGCACTATTTCTGGCAGTCTGCAAAGGCCCTTAGTTGACATTTTGAAATCAGGTTTTAATATGTATGCTAATAATAATAAAGCAAAGGGAGATAAGAACAAAACCAGAAGTATGAATACAACTGTCCTGCTGTCCTTATCTGACATGCAGGGATAAGGAGAAATACTACAATGACCAATGCAGAGAAATAGAGGACAACTACAAAAAGGGAAGAATGACAGACCTCTAACAAAAAATCCAAGATAAAGCCTAGTTCAAACCAAGGGCAGGGATACTGTATGGAGAAAAAAAGAACATAATACAGGAACAAGGTGAAATAAAGAGATGCTGGAGGCAATACACAGAAGAGTTATACAAAAGAGATGAGGGAATGAATGATATTTGGAATGAGGAGCCATATGAAGACGAACCCCAAATTCTAAGAAGTGAAGTTGAATTTGTAATACAAGAAATGGGAAAAAAATAAATCAGCAGGAACAGATGATATCCCAATTGAATTGCTATAGTGTCTACAGATAGATGCAACTTTAGTGCTAACTGAAATATGCCAACAAATATAGAAAACAAAGTGGTGGCCAACAGACTGGAAATGCTTGCTATACATACCAGTCTACAAGAAAGGAGATAAAAAAGACTACAGCAACTATAGGACAATGCAAGCCAAATAATGTTCGAAATTGTGCAGCATAGACTCCAACCATACATGGAGAGAGAAATTCTAGAGGTGTAAACAGGATTCAGAAAAGGAAGGGGCACTGGGGACCACATTGCAAACATATGATGCCTAATAGAGCACACCAAAGAATTACAAAAAAAAAAAAAATCAGCATGTGTTTCATAGACTGCAGCAAAGCATTTAATTGTTTAGATCATGAAAAGCTATGGAATGCACTCAGAGATATGGGGATGCCACTACATCTGAACAGAACAGAATTTGGGGAAACAGAGTGGTTCCCAATAGGCAACGGGGTCAGGCAAGGCTGCATTCTATCACCCTACTTGTTTAACTTATATGCTGAAAACATCATAAGAAAAGCAGAATAAAAGAAAAAGAAGGAGTTAAGATAGGAGGAAGCAACATTAACAACCTAAGATATGCAGATGACATCATAATATTAGCAGAAGACATTCAGGAATTGGAACAGTTAATAAGGAAGATCAAAGATGAAAATGCAAAGGCAGGTCTGATGTTGAACATTAAGAAAACAAAAATAATGACCACAGAAGAAATACACTAATTCAATTTAGACAACAAGGAAATTGAAATAGTTAAAGAACTCCCATATCCTAGGATCAAACATTGATCAGAATGCAGACTGCAGTCCAGAAATAAGAAGATGACTAGGAATGGGAAGGGCAGCTATGAAGGAACTGGGAAAGGTACTGAAGAGCAAAGAGCACTAAAGTCAGAATCGTCCAGGCCACTGTATTCCCAATTACTGTCTACAAATGTGAGAGCTGGCCAGTGAAGAAAGCAGACAAAAAGAAAATCAACTCATTCGAAATGTGGTGCTGGAGAAGAGAACTTAGGATACTGTGGATAGCTAAGAAGACAAACAAATGAGTTCTTGAACAGATCAGGCCAGAGCTCTCCTTGCAAGCTAAGATGACCTAGTTGAGACTATTGTACTTTGGCCACATAATGAGAAGTCATGGATACTAGAAAAAACAATGATGCCAGGAAAGGTAGAGGGTAGAAGAAAGAGAGGAAGACCACAAACCAGATGGATAGACTCAATCAGAGGGGTTATGGGGAAGGGCTTGCAGAACCTCAATCAGAGGGGTTATGGGGAAGGGCTTGCAGAAGATAGGGATTCTTGGAGATGTCTCATCCACAGGGTCGCCATGAATCGGACCCGACTCGAGGGCAACTAACAACAACAACAAATAATAATTTATAAGTATAGGTCTTATTACTATGGCCCAAATCCAGTTGTTAGTCTCAACTAGAGTTAAGACTCATTGAATCAATGAGATTTAAATAAGTATTGATTTACTCTACAGCAATTGATTCAGTGGGTCTACTCTAGCAGAGACTAGTAATTGAATTTAGCCCTATGTTCAATTGAAATTGAGTAAATTTAGTAAGGTCAGTTGCTTTGGGTTGGAGCAAAAAAATGTATTTTCCTGTATCATATAAATGGGAGAATATTTAAAGGAATAGATATAATCTGGTGGTACTGTCTTCAGTTTGTGGGAAAAATTGTGAAAGAAGGATTGGCACAAATACACAAACTACTGAAATTATAGAGCCTCTGTCTTGCCTTGGTGGTTCATAATTAAATCTAATTTCTCTTTGCCCTACCAGCTGGCAAGCACAGTTGCACGTACGTATGTCTGTGAATTATTTCAAATTATTTGCAGAACAGTTGATGGGTAGAGAGTATTAGCGTATTTTTGATTTTATATTTATTTTTAAAAGATTCATGACATGTTCCCCAAACTTGAAGAATTGAGTTTTGTCTCCTTCCTGCCTTGAATGGGATCCAAAACAAATGTTGTTTTGATAATGGCTTACAGTTGCATTTATACAGGTTGCTTTTCATAGTAAATAATCAATGCCTTCTTTGCTCCTGTTTGCAGATTTTCCAAACTCTGCCTGATGCCACTTTCCCTGAGCCAATCTCTGTGTCAGTATCTCCTCCAAATGCTCCACCACGACAGTCAAGAAGACAAGGGCAACGTACTAAGAGGCCTGTTGCTGTATATAATCACTGTCTTGAGCTGGATGACAGTAAGATGTTAATTATATTTTCTGTCTTGGTAGCAAAGTGCGTTTGCAGTGTATCTTGTGTCATCAAGGCAATCTAGAGTAGTTTTCCATTTCACTATTTCTCTTATCTGTTTTTTTTTAAATTGGAAAATGGAGATAGGAGACAGAGAGAATGTGTCCTTATGACATATTACTGTATCTGCAACTATAGGAAAACTTGGATTTCTTTTAGCAAATAAATTATCCCTTTTAAAGCCAAATCTGTTTGACCTTTGACAACAATTCCAAAACCATAGGATAAATTGAAGAGATAAGAATGAAAAGTAAAACAAATCTTTCATGAACTGACAGGTAAAATATATGTTCATTTAATCTGGACTAAAAAGTCAGATCTGGCAATTCATACGAGCATAGACAGCTACTAAACATTGGGTGATTAAAGTGCTTTGTACAGGCATGTCCTACCAAGAAGTAAAGTAGAACGTAGTGTGTAGCTAGCTATTCTGGTGGAAAGGATGCTATTTGCCATTTTAATACATTCTTGGCATTTACCCAGGTCTCATTTTCATTTCTTTGAGTCTATATATTATTGTCAGGTACTGTTACTGTCAGATATTCTCTTTACCTTACTTTCCCCTTCCTTTCTATGCCATTAGTTAATTATTTCAGTACATAAGAAAACAGGTTCAACACACAAAGTTTTGTTGCTGGTGTGGAGATGAAATTAGTAGGTGTTTAATTTGGGGACGATAGATAGATAGATAGATAGATAGATAGATAGATAGATAGATAGATAGATAGATAGAGAACCAAAGTGGCGTAGTGGTTTGAGTGTTGGACTATGGCTCTGAAGACCAGGGTTTGATTCCCTGCTTAGCTATCATATCTTGGCATTTTAATTATGAAGTCTAAATTAACACCTTGACACAATATCTGTGACTTTGCTGTGAACTGTTTTCCACAGCTTGCTTAGTTTGTGATTTTTTTGATCCTTTTATTTTTAGATCTCTTGATGAGAGGGTTCATGTAGGAGGAGGCTGCACATCTGTAATTTTTTGTTATTTGATGATTTTAGGTGTGGCTAGATACTCTTTCAGTTAATCTAAGGGATGCCTTGAGCTATTAATTGGTTCTTTCTACTAAAGAACAGATGTTCCTGGCATACAGCTTGACTTAAGAGTGAAACAAAGCTGAGATTTCAGAAGAAGCGGCAAACACATTGGTACAACACCTAAGCAGAATCAAGAAGAGCCATGGAGGCACATAGAGAGCATGGTTCTTTTAGTAAGAAATTGTACGTAGAGAGCTCTTATAGCACCTTTGAGACTAACTGAAATAAAGAAGTTGGCAGCATGAGCTTTTGTAGACTCCAGTCTACTTCCTCAGCAGCATCCAGATCTGCAATCTGCTCTTTTATCATGTTTCTTTGTTTAGTATGTTAGAGATATGCTTCAGCAGTCTATGGTAAAAGTCTAAAGATAAGACTGAAGGTATACACACACACACATTGAGAATCCATGTCTAAAGAATCTCTATATATGCCAGTACAACAAGCCAAGCTACGAGGGGGTATCATAAAGTTTTAATTATCACCTTTTAAAAAATCGACAGAAAGTTTGTTTTGATTTGTAGTTGTTAACTTATAGCTACATAGTCACCATCCAGATCTACACAATTTTCCCAGCGTTTCTTGACCCTCTGAAACTGTTATTGTTGAAGTCTGCAGATTGAACCTTAAACCACTCTTCCACTTCATGAATTACGTCATCTGTGTTGTCAAATTGGTGACCCCACAACGGATTTTTCACTTTTGGGAAAAGAAAAAGTCACTTGGTGATGATGATACTGACAGAATTTCATCAATATATCATACTAATTTCCACATGATACCATATTAACTTCCCAGTATTTTACAATACCCCCTCGTACCTCTCCATCTTACACTTTAGTCATTTCTGGCATAACCTGTAACAGAAATAAAGGACACAATGAGCTGATTTTCTCAACTGCATGCACTTAGGGAGCACACTGACAGAATTTCATCAATATAGCGTAATAACTTCCAGGTGACAATTATTACTTTACTATACCCCTCATAAACCACTGGCATGATTTAGGGCATGGTTCTCAGCCTCAACATTTCCACTATCTGTGTACCAAGCAAGTTGCAGACCATTTGTCTTCCCCAGCATGTTTATTTTAACTATTCCTGCCTGATGAAGAAACTTATGGGCTTTGAAAGTTAGCATAATGAATTTTGCCCCTTCTGATTGGCCTAATAACTGGATCACCACAATGTGTATTTTGGATTTTAGCTTTTGTTTTATGGTCAATACAACTACTCCTGCATTTTAAAGATAGCTATTGTAATAATAAAAGAAGCACCAATTGCTCCAAGTTATTAAAAACAGTCACAAATGCTAATACGTGAAGTGAAAAGTGTCACAGTTAAGTGGAAGCAAGGTGAACCTGAGCTACCTTCAAGAAACTTGGGTATAAATATTTCATTTTTCTTCTTCATATGGAACTCAGCACTGTGTGAGTTGGTAGTGCTCTGACAATTAGAGTAACATATAAAGATATGTTACAGGTATGTCTGAATGCTTATACAGTGTAGACAGAGCTTGCTGTCTCTTATTGTACCTTCCGTATTTTCCAGCGTATAAGATGACCCGTGTATAAGACGACCCCCCAATTTTCCAGTCAAAATATAGAGTTTTAGCACCTCTATCCTCATTATCCTTATATCTGGCATATAAGACGACCCTCCCCACTTTAGCCACAGATTTTGCAGGTAAAAAAGTAGTCTTATACGCAGGAAAATAAGGTATATGAGCTCTGTTGTCTGAACAGGGCTAGGTGGCAATGACATGGAAATCCACTCACTAAGCAACTATCTCACCACTTCACCTCACAGAGTTCTTTTGAGGATAGTGTGCTGCTTTGACACCCATGGAAGGAAAGCAGGAAGCAAGAATAACAAATAAATAGAACTTTGCTATCCATATGTGATTTAGAGTTAAATAAATCAAACAAATTATTTTGTTAAAATATGTAATGCAGATTATAGCTTTTTAGACATTTGCTTGGAAAAGAATTTTGTCTCAATGAAGGAGTTGGCCATCTGGTGTCCTCTTGAAACCTAACATTTTTGATAATGAAAAAGGGATTTTTGGAAATTTGATTTCTTTCAAAGGATACTGCTTTAATATATATATATTAGGTAGCTTCCTACGTAACAATAATAATACCTTTTGATTTGCACATAGCATGACAAAGCCTTCATTTTGACTGACATAACAAAATGGTGTTCTTAAGCTCATTTTTTAAAGAAAAGTTGTTGCTGCTTTTATTGAAGTGGTTGATAAGCAAATACAGTATTCCTTTGTTTAATGCAGAAATCATGACTGCCTAGTCAGTAGAATTCATTTGAGAGGTTGATCTTTCTTTAAGTCATATCTTTCTCACATAGGTGCTTTGTCAAGGGAGGGCTAAACATTTCTTATAAATTGGATTTTTGGTAGCAATGTTTTCCAGAGACGCAGCAAAATTATTTCATAAAGGCTTCAAGGAAGCATACAGCTGCAGGTTGGCACCCCCCCTCAAGATGCCAGTCCAGTGCCATACTTGTAGAACTGCTGCTTACATTGTGGAGTAAATGTCTGTACTGCACTATTCCTCTTTGACATGACACACAGCAACAAAAGCAGGAGGTGTGTCACCAACTGCAAGTGATTTGAATGGCTGAAGAAAATCCTATTGCTACCCAAATTGCTGACACTTAGATGGCACACAACAGGCTTTTAGAAGAGAAGGTAGAGTACTAGGAAGACAGTCCAAATTAATATGGTTTCCTTCCTTTGAGGATAGTGTGTTGCTTTGACACCCATGGAAGGAAAGCAGGAAGCAAGAGTAACAAATAAATAGAACTTTGCTATCCATATGTGATTTATATTGACATCTGAGTAATTCTTAGTTGCCTTTGAACAGTGTCTATAGAAAAGGGTACAGTTGAAATATTGTCAACAGTTTATCTGCCTTAATTATCATTCTTCCCATGAGCTGAATTGCAAACTATGTTTGTATTAGTTATTTGACATAAATAATAGATAGGTGCACAAAAAAAAAGAAAAGAAATCCTTCTGTGCAATTTTGTTCTGCAGGATGTCAGAGTGTTTTGAGAATGAGTGAGAGATTTCCCCTTTGATGTCTGCCACTGTTATGATATAACTGTACCACTTCACAGTTTAAATTAATTTGTTTTGACTTGTATTGACAATGTAACCTAATTTGTGTCTCTTGCTTCACAATCTAATTCCCCTTGTTGTTGTTGACCTTTTTAAAATGGGTTTTCGTTCTTAGTATTATGATGTGACTTAATAAAGGTGCCCAAATCTCATACCCTGTGACTTCATAAGGCAGAGATTGGGGACTGCAGTTCGTCTGGGATGGAGTACAATTTTCTGCCTCTTGGACCGTCTTGGATCTGTATGCACCTCCAAAAATGGCAAAAAGCCCCATCACATGAAATCGCCAGAAGTCTACTAGTTTTAAAAATTGTTATTGTTAATTAAAAAGTGCAGAAGGGCTGTGCAATGTAAAATGAGGCTTCAAGGAGAGGCAATTCACTTCCCTCCCTCTCTAGAAAAAGGAGAGTCTGGAGGGATCACTGGTCTCAAAAACAGCTCTTACGACTACGTATAATTTGCCCACCTCTGGTTTTAATGGGCAGATATCTCAGTAGAACTAATTCTGCAATGTCACTATTGTAATATAGAAGCCAGTTTTAATGTTGGGCTAGGGGCCTGAACAGGCTGTCATGAATAATCCAGCTTGAGGCCACTTTAACTGCCTTGGCTCAGTGCTAGGGAATGATGGGAACTGTAGTTTATTGTGGCACCAGAGCTCTCTGACAGAAGGCTCAATGTTTCAGGGGAAAAAAATTACAGTTCTCATGATTCCCTAGCATTGAGCCAGGACAGTTAAAGTGGTCTCAAGTTGGATTATTTATAGCAGTCTATTCAGGCCCTAAGACTCTGGTAGACTAGAATTTGAATCCCTCCTCAGCCATGGAAATCCACTGGGTGACCATGGGCAAGTATTGTTCTCTAAGGCTCAAAGGAAACCAGTGAAAACTACTTGAAGGCATACAACAACAATTATAATATTAGATTATAAAACAAGCACCTTGGAAAGGTTGACCTCTGCCTCTGTTACTAGTGTGGGAAATATCTAAATTTTACAAGTATAAATGTAAAGTTTAAGAGCCTTTCCCAAATTTTTATACTTACAGTGTTTTGTTGCTATTGTAGTTAACTGCTGACAAGTTGACTTTGATTCATAGTGACCCCATGAATGAGAAAAGTAGTGTATTACTATTTAACTTCAAGGAATATCATTATAGATAATGTTAAGAAAAAAGATAGAAAAAGAGAGAATAAAAGCAACTTAAAGAATAAGCCAGCAAAAATTGTAAACTGAAAATGCATTAGAAAAATAATTTATACATAGATCTTTAGAACAGTTGATCAAATATCCATGTGAAGTTGACATCAGTATGGTATACAGTTTGAGTCTTCCTTGTCCGGAATTCCAAAATACTCTAAAATCATCCATATGGGAGGACGAGGTATTTTCTAGTGGTTCTGTTTACATAAACTTTGTTCCATGCACAAAATTATTAAAACATACTGCAGCGATGGCGAAACTTTTAGGGGCCGAGTGCCCAAACTAAGATACCTTCCAGCAACAGGTGTTACCCGATGCTGGGGGCAGGACTTTGCCCTCCAGGGGCAGGAACTTCTGGGGCAGGACTTCTTACCTCCACCCTCCCAGGCAACTGAAGGCCTGGGATGGCCAGGAAGGAGGAGGAAAAGGGAC